ACCCCCAAATTAATGAAGTAGGATCGTTCGTGAAATTGCTACTGACACTTTTTAAGAATGTAACCTACTATTTTTCTTGGGGTTCTTTGGTTTCAAAATTATGTACCAAATTTAAAAATGAACTTTTGTCAAGAAATGAAAGAATCCTTAATCATTATAATTATTTATGCAAGTATATTTTAGTAGGAGCTTCTCTCTTTAGCTGTAAATGATTTAATTCTTAGTTTAATCGATAAATCAACTTGCCCGTTCTTTTACTTTCATTAACTTAGTGAATAAAAATCAACTTTTCTAATCAAAAGGCCCCCCAGTGGCACAGCGGTATGTCTGTGGACTTACAACACTAGAATACGGGTTTCGATACCCGTGGTGGGCATAGCACAGATAACCCATTGTGTAGCTTTGTGCATAATTACAAAAAAAAAACCAAACAAACCTAAGCGAAAGATCCATCTATTCTCTCTAATTGAATTCACTGAAGATTTCAGGCTTTAGCATTTTTACTGTAATGTATGTAGTGTGTATATGTGTATCTATCTATGTATGTGACCGAAATATAAAAAATATACAATGTGGCGTCATCTATTGCATGCTACTACAAACAAAAGACCATAAAAATGTTCACACTTTGGGTATTCAAGATTCAGACAATTACAGAACTAACTGTGGTATGTGCAACAACTATTTCTTTATAATAAAACACCATTTTAAACAAAATACTTTCCTCACAACAAGAACACGATTTTCACTAGGAATGTACATGAGTGTTTGATTATATCTTTATTGATGTAATTTTTAATTTAGTACTGAGAAATTGGAGTTCCTAAAAACTATTATTTTTTCAATAAACGGTATCACTTTCAATATATAAACACATTACAGTTTATACCCGTAAAATTTATGAAAATTTTCATTTCTGTACATTGAATCATTTTGATACAATGAGTTGCGTATGAATAAAGAACACAATCCTAACACTTTTCTAGTGCAGTACTTCCCAGAAAAAATGTTCATTTTTCTCAATTCTTTTCAATGAGGTATGAATACTACGATTAGTAATTAATAGCGCGAGCAGTCTCCCATAGGGCAGCGTTTCTGCTAGTAACTCCAATTTGACAACCAACAATAAAGAAGAAAAAAGAAATGTAATTAAATAGTGCTTGATATTTTTACATTTGTGTTGGATCGTGAAATAAAACTTAAATAAAGCTGATAGATTTCTTTTTGAAAGTTGGAAATCATTTATATCATAAACCTAAATACATTTATATACAAGGGTGTAGGCCGAGGTGCGACTTTAGGAGAAAAAAAAACAAATGAGTAGCGCACTGGGGGCATACCCTCTTTGAAACATAATTTTACTTGAAGCTATTTTTACACTTTTTAATTATGTTTTATGTATATATGGGTGCAGTAACACCCCCTTTTTAATATTACTTCAAGTTAGAAGATAAGGCAACACATTTCTTTACTTCAGGCTCGTTAAGAATATGATCTGCATTATTGTTTTATTTCATGCAATACTTCAAACTATTGTTCTTTGTTACTTTCAACAATAATACAAGTTAATTATGTTCATGAAAGATATGACAGTGACCAGATGTTCTAAGCAACTTGGTATACGTCACTGTAAATATTTTAAAAATACTTCAATTCCTGAAATGTGGAACATTGAAGATCTTTTCGTGATGTACAACTTCCTTCTAGTCTAGAAGATATATAAGGCTGCAGGAATACGACAGTTTGTTTGTTAGCTTTTTTTTTAAATCTCTAAGCTGCCTGGCAAAGAAATCCCGTGATGCCATTTATACCTTCCTAAAACGGAGGGAAATTAATTAAAAATACTCAATAAAAGATAAGACTTTACTGACTGGAACATGTGTGAAACTTGTGATTTGTGCTAACACGAGCGTTCAGTACCTTCAAATGCCAATATGAGAATGAGACAAAAAAACAAAAAAAACAATAACAACAAAACACGAGAGTTCATGTTGGAGCCATATCATAAGTCAGACGATTACTGTGTCATTAGTTTCTGCAATATTTCCATTTACAATCTCGGCGATTGCAAGCATAGATGTGACGTGTTTATGTTAACTTAAATATTCCATGACCAAGAGTACAAATGAAAACGTGACGATAAGAAAGTAAACTAGTTCTTGTGTTTCTTGAAGCATTATTATCTATTGAAATTTATGAAACTTACGTTTCTAATAAAGTTGACGTTTTTCTTGTACTTTCAAATATGTAGGTAATGAGAACAAAATATCGAGTATAAAAACTGAAGCCTACGATAGTTAAGTTCTTGACCTCTGAACTATCAACAGGCATGACAACTTAGCCTTTGGCTTGTGTTGATCTAATCTATCCAATTATATCCTAAGATCATCTTCAAGAAAGTATCGCAAAAACATATATATATATATGTATATAATTTAAAGACAACAAGGCCGTAACCATCCATTATAATAAACTCTAAAATAAAACGCCCAAAGC